GTTCTATGGTCTGCTGGGGTAATAATATAGTGTAAAGCGCATAGAGCCTGCTGTTGAGCGGGGATATGCGCTATAAAAATGCTATCTATTATTATTATTATTTAAGAGGTAGCACCTCCGACTTGAACATCCATTTCCGAAAAGACCGAGCCAAATGGGAAATTCATATAAAGTGCCTTTCCCAAGGACATAACGTCGGACCGAACTGAGGCTCGATCTCCGAACCCGGAAACTCACGATTACGGGTCCGGTAGCCTATTAATCACCAGGCCACCGACGCCACTAGGGAATGGAGGGAAGGATGTGAGTATGGATAAGAGGAACAGGCGAACTCCGAGGGGAAGACTAACGATGATGATGATGATGATGATGATGATGATGATGATGATGATGATGATGATGATGATGATGATGATCTCAACTAACCGACGTGTATGGCGAGCATCTGCTGTTCGCATTTTGCGCAGACTTGAATTCTTGCTGTGCCATCAGCGTTGACCGTTACCGACTTGCCGGTACATTTGTCGTTTTCCAGGTAACCCGATATGACGTCACAATACGTACCAGCTGCCAAACCGGTCTGAGGCGAAAATAAATATATAAATCAATTATTCTTCGGTGACCCATCGATATCGATGATGACTATTATAACAGTGTGCGTGATACGGCTATTTGTGGGTGATATTGTATTGAAGTATCGCTCATTGCATTATATAATATTACAGTTTATTATATTACATTACATTACATTTCGATGCAGTACATTACATTTCAGTACAGTTTAATACAGAGATTCCCGTACATTACAGTACATTGTATTGTGTTGTATTGTATGCATTGTATTGTATTACATTGCGTTGCGTGGCCTTGCGTCGCGTTGCCTCGCGTTGTATTATTCTAAAAGTGGGAACACTTATTTTTGATGCATTGCAATTTCCCTGAATCTGTTCTCTGTCAAAAGCAAAGAGCTTTTCTAAATCGAAACATAATAAATTTTCAAAACATTTATTGACTTGCCGTCAAGGTCTGATCCAGATCAGTATCTTCCAGATTGAAGGCGATAAAGGCGCGGTCTCCCCTGGAGAAGGCGATCTGATAATTGGCGTTTGACCACCAGTTGCTCATCCCTTTACCGGCTGCCATGTTACGGAAGGCTACCATGTTGTAGATCTCACTCCATCTGTGAAAGAAAGACAGTCAGATGTTATGCCGTGTCGATTTGACCAACACTTGGACGTGTTGCTGTGCTTTGTGAATGTGTGAAGATATTGGGCTTGAAACATTTTATTTTGGTGTAAGGGTTTTTGTTGGTTTTGTTACAGTTTTTTCTTGTCTGTTTGTTGATTTTTTTAGGTCCTGATTAGTTACCCTTCTTACAGGAAAAAAAAAGTGAAACTGTGACTAGTTTTGAGTAAATTAGAAGCAACATTTTAGAAGAACGTCCTTTTTTAAATGGTTATGCTAGCAAATGCCTGAATAAGAAAAATGCGTTTTATCAGCCAACGGCAGTCACCACAGTGACACTCACCTGTGTTCACAGATCCACCCATTGCTACAGTTCATGCCATTAACAACAACGTGCTTGATGCTCATGTCTGCATTCTGGGGTGGACCATGTTCTCTCGATGTTACGTCGAAATGGTAGCTGCTCAATATGCGAGGGATTCCATACGGGTGGGCCAACATGAAGGCAGTAGCCAGCTGTCGATTGTAAAATGTTTATAAAATTATTTCTTTCCTAGTGGACTGCAGATTTAAATCTCGTGGAGACGGGGCTTGGAAAAAAATATTCTAAAAACCCCAAAACATTTCAAATGCCCTCAAGGACTCGGCACTTCCATTGGAGAACCGAAACACCTACAAGCCACACTGTGCCCACGTCTTGTGGTCTGTATCAAGGAGGCAAAATTCGTCTTGTCTTCTACCAAAGATTTTAAAGAATTTATTGCGCATAAGCGGATTCAATCTGCGAACGGGATTGCGCACAATATACATCGACAAAACCACACTCTAAACACAAATAAATCAAAGGCACGACCCACCAGAGTACGCGCAGCAGTCACCCTGCACATATTAATGTTATTACCATCTGCTCCGTATACACCACACAAAAATACACTTTCAAAATTAACCTGTTAAACCAAAGTGTCGACTCCCAAAACGTTTGACAATAACAGTTGAAGATTCACTCCTTGACTGAACAGTCAAAGCGTGATATGTTTCCATGGCAACGTTGCTAAGTAGGCATCTGAGAAAACAAGTGGGTCGACCTTCTGGCTAAGGAATCCTTGCCCTTCCTTTTGAGACTTACAGAAAAACAGTGTGTGTGTGTGTGTGTGTCTGTGTGCGTGCGTGCGTGCGTGCGTGCGTGCGTGCGTGCGTGCGTGCGCGCCTGTGTGTATTTGAGCATGTGTGTCCCTGTCCCTTTCTGTCTGCACATGATTGTACATATCCAAAGGCCTGCAGTCTGCAGTCTTACCTTATATAGTTTGGGGTCCGAGTTGGTCAGGATGCTGACCATGAATCCTCTCTCTTCATCGGGGTTGTCCAGAAAGTTGACCACATCGCCAGAGGCCCACAGGCCTGTACCTTCTCCAAAGTCTTGGAGGTTCTTCAGGGGCTCGTGCTTCCTGAGACGTAGAGACGTGAAGAGCAATTTAAGAAACGAACACACAAATAAACAAACTTACAGGCATCCACCCCCTCCCCCAGCACCCCTCGGCCTCCCTCCTGTCGAACATAACTCCAAAATAAAATTAAAATAAAAAAATTAAAACTACAAAACTGCAAAATGAAACATTAATATATTTTATGCTGCATATACACACACAT